AATTCTGCAGAGTCCAGGGACTATGGTTGCAAGCCAGCCAAATTGCTGCACTTTCTGGGGTCCTGCTATGGTCCTGCTCAGCTGCAAGAGCAAGTCTTTCCAATTTTGCTTCTTCCGCTGCAGTTGGCTTGGCAGCTGCTTGCGCACCAAAGCCTGGTGTCCCCTGTGCTTCCGGGACTAATCAAGTGTCCGTTACTTCCCTGTTTGGGGCGCGAAAGTTGAAGTTGGGAAACAGAACATGAGTGGGGGTGCGTGCGCAGCTTCAATGCTTGCAAGCTTTACAGTACCAACTCTTTACAATCACGCGCGCTCACGAATCCTCCGTGAAACGTGGATTGAGCGTGTTGCCCGACCACAGGTCAAAGCAACGAGAGTTTCCCCTATGCAAGAAAGAGAATCTAGAAATCACACACACAGAGTCGCCATGACTCAATCTCACGGCCAGCGCCAAGAGCGAAGGCCTTTGCAAGTTGAACTCGTTCCGAGTCAGTCATCCAGGCTGTAGCTTGGTCAATACAGCCTTGTGGTAGAACTCTTTACATTGGCAATTATTGGTGTGTTCTGCCTGTAAATATAGGCAGTTGCCATCAATGTGTATCTTTTGGCGCAATTGGTTGTTCCTCGGATCAGTTGCCTGGCAGGTCCTGAGATCCTGTCCTGTGAGTCGCCCAGCAACAACAACAAGATCATCATTATGCCTTATGATGCTGAAATGAAACGCCGCCCATTGCAAATGTTCTCCATCTCTGGCAAGCCAAAGGCATTTTCACCTTTTGCTTCCGAAGCAACTTGCGCTACCCTAGATGAGAGACACCGAACACAAATCTCCGCGGTAAGCGTAGTAAGCGCCGGCGGAATCGGTGAAAGCTTCACACTTGGTCCGGCTTGCAGTCCAGGACGGTCCAACATATTTGCAGTTTGGGGAATCTCCCGCTTGCACTGCTTCCTTCTCAATTTGCGCCTGGAACGTCTCGAGCACTGGGCGCAAGGTTTACAAAGTGGAGGAGCGCTCTCTTGTTCTTGACACGCCAGCAAGTGGAGCTTCTTCTTGATGAACATCACAAATTCATTTAACATCTCATAACCTCTGAGAGAAATGTGTTCAGGTGCTCAATCGGTCCTTCATAAACAAACCACAAACAGGTCTGCATGCAACATCCAGGATGCGGCGGATTCGGCATCTCCAAGGGGTTCATTTGGATGTTTGCCACCTAAGAAATCAAATCGGGCAATATTCATCACGGGGATGCGAATGCGTCGTTGTCCAGCCAAGGAGCTGGCACACTTTAACAACTTTACCGAGCTGGCATATGGGTTCCCATCATTGCGCAGCCTTTGATTTCTAAGAAACCATGCAACTTGGCAATGGCGAGTTGGTGGTCTTAGCCTTAGACATCCACACCCTTTTGCGCCAAGATCCACGATGGCCATCTATAGAATCAATTCATCTACCGGCACAGTTGCTCTAGTGCAAAACATGTTTTCAGAAATCCTCGAAAACCATGGGGTCGACGCCTTTACTGATGGCTTTACGCCGCTAGAATAGAGCGGCGTCCATTGCGAACGTTCTCCATCTCTGGCATGCCAAAGGCCGTTTCACTCCTTGTTTCCAAAGCAACATGTTCCACAAAGATGAGAGAGGCACAGTACGGCGAATATACTAAATTTCAGCAGTGAACGTCGGGTCCAGCACATTTCCTCCAGTCTGGGGAATCTCCCACTTAAGTTGTTTCCTTCTCAATTTGCACCTGGAACGTCTCGAGCACAGGACGCAAGGCTTACAAGGTGGAGGATGGTGGAGTTTCTTCTTGATGAACGTCACAAATTCATCTCAAATCTCACGGCCCCTGCGCGTGGCGACGCAGACGGAAGGATGTAGAAGTTAGTAAGAGGTGTATAAGTACAGTGGAAAGTCTAATGAGAGTTTTATAGTTGCATGTGCATGTGTGCTACAAGATGCTACAAGTACACGCGCAGACGCACGTTGCTATGGATGTAGTAGGCTGAGACCCTTGGACACGGCCCATGCAATCATGCCGCCAGCGACACGCCGAACTTACACCAGCGCGCCCCCAATGGCGCGGACTCACGCAAACGCACTTTCCACCGTGGCCGCGCTAAACCGCATGGCACAGCGACATCACAGGCGGAATTTGGGCACACAGCGCGCAAACAGACTAGATACAACAATGTAACATTAAGCGTCGCGGGCGCCGCCTGTCATCCCGCTCCCCAGCGACACGAAGAATTTACACCAGCATGTTTTCCCTCCCCCAATGGCACAGACTCACGCAAACAAACTTTCCACCGCGGCCGCGCAAAACTGTACGGCACAGCGACATCACAGACGAAATTTGGCAACACGGTGCGCAACAGACTAGATCACGGTGGGCGCCGCCAAGCGCCCAGCTGCTTCCCGCGCCGCACTACCAAGTGGCCAGTTCTGACGCCGCAGCTCCCAGATGCTTCTTCCCGCAATCTGCTTGCACTACCAAATCCCATTTCGGCAACAGTTACACACTTTGGCAACCTCCACCTTCCTTTTCGGCAACAGTTACACACCTTGGGACCTCCGTTTTCGACGATAGTTACACGCTTTGGCAGCCTCCACCCCCGTCTTCGACGGCAGTTAGACACTTTCGCAACCTCCACCTCTGCTTTGGACAAAGTTACACTCTCGCAACTTCCAGCTTCCGACGCCGTTTGCGACGACAGTTGCACACCAAATTTGCATCTCGCCTCGCTTCTGGGCCAATTTTCACAGAGGGTTCACGGCGCTCGCGCAAAGTTGGCATTTCGCCTCACGCTTGAGCGCTTGACACGCACGATCTCCGCAGAGGGCTGCCTCGAGCCAAACAGAACTCGCATTTCGCCACACGTTTGAGCACTCGACGCGCATGATCTCCGCAGAGTCGAGGGTTGCCTCCAGCCAAACCAGGATTCGCATTTCACAACACGTTTGAGCACGCGACACGCGCGAGATCGCAGAGGATTCATCCGGCACAGCCGGACCTCGCATATCACCTCATGTTTGAGCGCTTGACAC